GGATCCTTCGGATCTAAATTGGACCTTTTTCTATCCATAACCCTAATTACAACCTATAAATACCTACTTCAAAAAATCCAAAAAAATATATATGAAAAACATATAGATATTATCAAAAATCTGTATAAAATACTCTTACAAAAATCCATATAAATTAGTAGATAAATCCCATGAAATAGAAAAAAAACCCTCAAATACATCCTAAAAAATTAGAAAAAATAGGAAAATTTCTAAAAAATACTAAAAAATTCAAAAATTCCTATTTGAAATTTGGCTACCCTAAATCCCTTAGAAAATTAGGGAACATCTCCGAACCTTAGAAAAAATTAGGTAAACCTTACCTAAGATCCTTAGTCCCATTATAAAGCCTTAGGAACCCCAGATCTAAGCAAAGGAGCATTAGATCCAGCAAATTCCGGCAAGCAAAGGCATCCAAGAAAGAGAAGATGGTGGCACAAGAAGAGTTGTCTGATCCAAGCCCAAAATTTTGGATTTCAGGTTCCTAAGGTAAGTAATTCCAATTTTCTCTTTAATTTAGTGATTTTTATTTAATTTTAGTTTATTTTCATTGCAATTTCCTTATCTTAAAGTTAGTAAAATTTAAGAAATATTTAAAAAGCTTTATACATGAATTCTGAAGCTGGCCATGCCAGTAGACTCATAAGAGAACCGAATCTGTACGAATCAATGATCCCTCTGAACCTATAAGTTGAGCAATCCCACTCTATCTACTAATATCTAAATTTAACTTATTATGCATGGTATTTGAGTTGAACTCGCTCTAAGATCAACACAAATCTAAGCGTAAACATATGGTCACAGTTGTTTAATAGCTTTTGAATTTTAATAATTTTCTACAAATTAGATTGACTTGAAATTTGTAGCATGTGTACATCTAACCAACTCGTACTTAAATAAAATATTTAAAAAATAATTAAAATAATAAAAATACCTCTTGAATATTCATACGGACAATCTGATCATTTCTGTTATTTGGTTTTCATTTTATATTTTATATATGTGTGCCTCATTAAGGTGCAAACACCTACAAAATTTTGAGTTAATCGGATTTATAGAAAAATTGTTATAATTTAGACACTATTAGATGATCATGACCATCTAATAATCTTTGAATAATGACGAGCCATGAGCAAAGTACTGTAGAAATTCAATCATGAGTTTTTTTTTGTGTTTTCCTAAGGTGGACTTGAACTCAGACATGTTCGACCTGAATAGATTGATAACCCTAATTTAGAGTGTGGAAATGCCCTCTCTAATAAAATTAAAACAGAGGTATCGTTCCCATAGTTAAAGAGTGTTCCACAAATTATCATTCTATATATTTCATGGTGTATTAGGAGCATTCTCTTATTTTAATATGCTTTTCACTTCTTGTAGCCGATCGTGCAAAGTGAAGAACTCTTACTTTCAAAAAGATGCATCGGACTTGACCCAGCATTTGGACTTTGGAGTTCTTCTCTCATAATCACAATAGCAAAAGCATATAATTTGAGTAAGTTTTATAACTTGTGGATCCTGATCAAGATAGCAAAAGAGAAGCAGTGTTAAGATTTATTGCTTGTTATGGAGAAGGTGTTGCTTTGCTAATGAGTATAGTGGTAATGTTCTTGTGAGAGCTCCTTTTGGGAAAGCGAAAAATGGACCAAAAACAAGGGGCAATTTAATTCATTTGAAAAAGATCCATGAGGGGACCTTTTTCTTTTTCCCCTAAAAATAAAGACTTCAAAAACTGGGTCGATGACTTAGAATCGCCCATCTGAAAACCCGGTCTGGATTGGCGGTCAGGATCAATAATCTGGTTGAGTGAATTGGCCAACCATTATGTTTTTAATAATTTTGTTTTTTCAGTTTTTAATTTTTTGGAGCGACTTGATGTTGGAGAAGGAGCCCGATTTGTTGATCTGGGTCGATACTGATCTGGATCTGATTTCAAGCCGGCCGATTCATCTGGCTGATCCGAGATTCAAAGCACCAAATGGGCGTGATCCCACAATTATAAGATTAAAATCCAACAGTGTCCCTACACATAGTCGTTGAATTTGATAAGATTAAATCCAGACATCCAGCCTATTGTCTTTAGAGTACACTATGCTCCTTTAGGAGCAGATTATACATTTACTCAATCCGGCAAACTACATACTCGAGAGTCTTTTCATATTTAAAATTTTGGGATCCATCTAATTATAATAGGATGATTATTTTCAAAAAAAAAAAAAGATTTTGAGTTTTTGAACATCTAGATCATTCCATCCAAAAATTGATTCGTTCTAGTGCAATTTTGGGATTTGTTTTCCTTAGGCACATAGATAGTGAGAGTTACTTTCTTTTTATCTAGGTTGGTCGCTAGATTGTAGATATCACATTCTCAAAATTTGAGATGTAAAAGATATTCCCCGTTTAAGTTTTGCCCAAGGGAATGGATGGATAGTATACTCTTGCGGGAGTAAAACATTTACGTGCGAGGGTCCGTGGGAAAGTTTTGGTACACAGCATCTATCACTAGGACTAACGTTTAATAATTTCCTAGCCTTGTCCACAAACACAATAAACAAATAATTAATTCCAGGTATAATTGTCATTTTTTAAAGAGTAATTTACTTATGGACATAAAATAAATGAATAAAATAAATAAAAAACAAAATAGGTCAATTTTGGCCAAAGCTTATGAAAAAGGTCGTTTATTTTAGAGTTTTTTAGTTTTCCTATAATGCCCCTTGGTCTGGGATGGTATCGGTGAACCAGTTTTAAATTTTTTTTTCGTTTTTAATTGTCTGAGCCATGTCATATGTTTTAGGACAGTTGGCGACCGGGATGGGTAGCCTAATGCACAAACACAATAAATAAATAAATAATTCCATGAAGGGGTATAATTATCATTTTTTAAAGAATAATTTACTTATGAACATAAAATAAATCAATAAAATAAATAAATACAAAATGGGTCAATTTTGGCCAAAGCTTATGAAAAAGGTAGTTTAATGTAGAGTTTTTTAGTTTCCCATAATGCCCCCTGTATGGTATGGTATCCGTAGACGAGCTTTAAATTTTTTTTCATTTTTAAATGTCACATGTTTTAAGACAGTTGGCAACCGGTCCAAGGTCCCCATCATTTGACCATTTAGACTATGGTGTTACATTGCATTATAATATGCTGTTTGAGGATGAAGATCTCGGACCACTTCAATCCAGCTAGCAATCTGAAGTTCCCATCCTCAGACCACTCACACCGTATCGTTCGACCACATTATAGGTTGTCTGATGATGGACATCTCGAACCGCCTGTATGTGGTGTAACACGACAATGTGTACAGTTTGAGAATGGGGACCTTGGACTACCTGTAATACGTCGTAACACAACAATCTAGGTGGTCCGAGACTGGTTTCTAACTGTCCAAAATATAAGACATGGCTTAGACAATTAAAAAAAAAAACTAAAAAAAATAAAAAATAAAAACTGGTCCGGGGATCCCCGGAACGATGCACATTATTGGAAAAACTTAAAAAGCTAATTTTTGGCCAAAGTGACCCATTTTATATTTTATTTATTTATTTGGTAATTTTTCTAAATGTGTGAAGACTAATGAAGCTTCTTAAATGATATGACCTTATAACTCCCTACGTTTCACATGAAATGTGAAGAAACAAAAAAACATTTAAACAATGGAGGCTTTTGGGTAATGCATACTAATTCGAGACTGCTTGAGCGAGGCTTGTCATTTAGGTGAAACATCTTTATCCATTTCAACAAATCTGGGCCCTCCGATCTCTCTCCACCGATCTGGCCCCTCCAATCTCTCCCAACCGATCTGGGCCCTCCAATCCCATGTCCTCTCTCCTGTCCTCTCTCTCTCTAATAACTGAATGACTTCTCATACAATTAACAGAATTCTAGTGAAGTGGACGCGAAGAAACGAAGCCCATAATCTATTTTAAAATTAAACAAATTATTGTTCTCACCACCCTTCCTAACAACCTTCACTTCCTCAATAAAAAGACTTCCGTGATCTCTCATTTCTTTGCCACTGTCAACTGACTGGCACTAGAGGAAGCATCATGGAAGCTGGAGCTGCTGAAAAAAGATGCGAAATCGACACGAGCGTGCCATTCCGGTCGGTGCACGAAGCTGTGATTCTCTTCGGTGAAAGGGTCTTAGCAGGGAAGGTTTATGCCAACAAACTCAAAGAGGTAAGGCCTATTGATGATCCATTTTGAGTTTAGCTGGGTATATATGAAATTAGATTAGGTTTCGGGATTTTGGATATCAGAGCAAGAACAAGTTGACTCAATTGGAAATTCTAAAGCGACAGCCGAATTTAGAAATACCAAGTGATGCACTCTAGAAATTCAGCCAAAATGAAATAGAATTCAGAACAATTCAATGCCATAGAAGTTTTTGCTTAAACCGAAGACTAGATTATTCGATCAAAACTTGAAATTTTTCTCATATGGAATGCCTCAACAGTGCAAAATATTTTGTTAGTATTTTGTTGGTTTACATAGATAGCAACATAGAAAGGTAAAACATTGCATATCAAGAGATGGAAATGATTGAACACCAGATGAATTACAATGAGTAGGAAAATGGTAATGGCAGTTGAAGTTTTCAATCTATAGCATCAACCCCCTTTAGAATTTTTATATGTTATTTTGATGTTTTCACTGAGTAGATATTTATATTTGACTAAATAATGACAATCATTATTGATTTATTAGATTTATATATTTACTTATATTCTTCAGGCAAAAACCTTTTGCAACTAGTTCTAGGTATAATATATAGTACCTGTCAATCTTATTATTGAATGGGGGTTGGCAAAATGGACTTTGGATGAAAGTTTGAGATTTTCAGGAAGAGGAAATGCCAAATTAGAAGTCCTCCTGAATGTATCCTCACATACTGGCTCCAATCCTCCTCTTTTGAAACTAAGAACTCCTCAGGCCTTCAATGAAATGCCTAACTTTGTTATAATTGATCAAAATAGACAAATATATCCATATCAAACACTCCCATAATTGTTGTTTTTTTGTTTTTATGAATGTGCTCCCATATTTGTTGTTTCTTGGATCAGTTCTCTATTTTTCTAGTTCGTGAAGTTCTCTCTAGAGGTTGTCTAATTATTTAGTAACGTTTAGCTGGGGTTGAAGAAACTTATCATTTGAATTCCTCATACCGTTTTTCTCCACCAGATGCAAAAATCAGCAGGTGAGAATAATTCAAGGGCTTCGAAGCTGGGAATCGCAGCTGCAGAGCTTGAGGAGGCAAAGCACAGCTTGAAGAAAGCCATGGAAGAAGGCCAAGAGATGGCCAACACCCTCAATTCCCTGAAAGAAGAATTGGAGCAAACAAGAAAAGAACTCGAAAGAGTGAAGGCAAAGGAATCCAACAAACACAGAGAACTTGATGTTAAGACCATTGAAGAAACAGTAGAAGAGGAAGAAACACTAAAAGTGGGAGAAACAGATGCTAAACATGATCTACAGAAGAAGAGATGTGTATCATTTGCCAACCCACCATCTCTTGCTGAAGTTTTGAGCTCGGGAGTTGCCGACTTGCCATCAAAGAAAGGAAGCCAAGGCTTTGATGGGACTGGTGGTGGAACCATGAACAAGGCAGTACAACCAGCATATGGAAAGGTACAAGAAGAAGCTGTTCTAGAGAGATACCCATCAATAAAAAAGAAAAAGAAGCCACTGATTCCTTTGTTTGGACTCTTTAAGAAGGGTTCTCAAGAAGTAGCCTCTCCTAAAGCTCCAGTCCAGTGAGCTTGTGCTCACCCTTAAAGGGCTTTGTGGAATCAAGATCAAGACTGGGGAGGTTGCAATTTTCAAATAAAAAGCACATAGATTTGAGCTCCAACATGTGGTTCTCTTTAGCTTAAATAAGAGTTGGGCATTATTTTTTGAAAGCAAAAAGAGTTTATGTTCTTGCCCTTTGTGGGGTGGTTTATATGATCTTTTGGGGGATTTGTTGGGTTTTGAATGTAAAGCGAACAAAAGAACAAAAAAAAGAAGAGAAAAAGAAAAAGTTGGTAATTAAGGAAAGGTGATATGCTTCACTTAGCATGTTGGAAATGGATAGGCCAAATTTGCAGTTACTTTGAATTGAAGGCTCGAAACAATGAAAGAGTACTTGTTTGAAGATGGGTGTGCAAAATGAGAGTTACGGGCATCTTTCTTTCCAATCCTGAGCTTTAGCTTTTGTTTTGTTTTCCACTTTTGCTTTTGGTAAAGGAGATGCTCTCTCTCTCACTCTCTCTCTCTCTTTCTCTCTCTCCATTCCTGTCAGCTCGGGTCGATGGAAGAATAGCACAAGTGCAATGGGACATTAAATATGGGCCAATCGGGTCACTAATTTATTTTGTTTTTGAATTTTTCTTGGTTTGCTACAAAACCAAATCATATGAAATCTAAAATGTCCGCTTTTCTCATAAAGATGCACCTAATATAAATTGATCAAAATAACCTCTAAAATCTTTATAAATATTTTTATCTGTTGAATATTTATGAATTATTTTTTGATATTTTATTAGATTTGTCTATTTTTTAAAAATAGATTTTTCAAATTTCAAATGATCTGAATTTGCAGAAATAAACATAAAATTAAAATATGCAATCATGGTCATTAAATTGACCCAGATTCAATTTGGGCCATTTGACATTTACTGTAGTTGTCAGTTATTGGGCACCTTAATTCTACATTTTAAGATTGCAACCATATATAAACGTTTTCCATCATAAATGGTTATTTTGATGTTGAAAACCCTCTAATGGTTCATCTTGACATCGCGATGTAAGAATATGAAAAGTAAAATAGATTTTGAGTCCCAAAATAGTGTATCTTGTAACACATTATCTGGACCATCTATTTTTAAGGTTTTGATGCATTTATAGATCTACTTGATTGGAACTAGTTTTAGAGTCTAAAATTTTATAAATAGAAATAAAAATAGATGCTCGAGTCATCCTAAATTTTGTTTATACCACAATTACATTTATGAGAAAATTCGAAGGTGCACCCTAATTTGATTATT